GCCATTTTTAATTAACCAAATATGTGTTTATACAGCAGCAGGCACACAATTACACTTGTGCACAAAAATGAGTACAAAAAGGAGAGAAATGTGTAAATATGGCAGGCAAAATTAATTTGCCCAATGCAAATATGCAGAATGTGTGCTTTTTGTATGTGCGGTGTGATAAACTTCTGGAGTCGAGGGGAAAACCCCCAAAAACCATGAAGGCAAATAACCTAAAAAATTTTCGCTGACGTTTACGAGTCGGGTGGTGAATGTAAGCTCGTTGCAAACGCACACACAATTGAAATGCAAGTCATGAGCTAGCCAAAATGAGCCAAAACCCCTGCAAAACTCCGCTTTCTGTTGGTAGCTACCAAGAAATTTCACCTGCTTGGGGATACATCCACCCACAAGCACAGCTTTCATATGCCCTGCTAATATCACTGGGCTAGCTTAGTTCATGTCGGTCCTTTGCCAGCTATATTACTACTCCGCCAACTACTGCCGACTGCAGTTAGTTACCCAGCGGGCGACATTGCCAACAAGCAGCTCATTTTCAAAAGGTTCCACTTGCTTACCCAGCAAACAGCAGTCAGTTGAGCTTTAACAGCTACGAAGTTGTCTAAAACATTTAGCATTTCATTATTATTACGAGTTGCTTACCAGAAAGTTAAATTGAATTTGTATTATTAAAAGTAAGTATTTCATTTCAAGTTATGACACCCAATTTTGATGGTCTATCTTATGGTATTTTTAGTGTCAATAAATCAAATTATTTTTTCAGATTTTATAAACTTATTAAAATTAAATCATAAATTTACAGTTCCTTAAAAATATTTTATAAATATAATTTATGGACAACATATTCCATGTATCAATATCTTTGATAAACAAAGACAAATAAAGAAATAGACTTTCCCGATTTACATATTTAGTTATAAATAATTTTCCCTTTTCCAAACTTGTTCGCTGGGTTGCCAGTTGCATGTGCAAGTAATTTGGAGCAGGACAAGACCGTGCTCATTATGCATAAATTGTCGCTGCGAAACTGCACTGAATTATGACAAAGTTAATGGCATTATAATGCCAAAACGCTGACATCTGCCCGAGCCAAGCGGAGTGGAGCTATTCCCAGATATTTCAAGTTGGCCAAGGGCAAGTGTGCCATAATTCCGTTGCAATGTGAAACGTTTTTAAAGCACAAATTCGTGGCTCCTGTTTCTTGGTTGCTGCTGCTGTTGTCGATGACTTGTTGCCCCAAAGGCGGACACACGGAGTGGGCAAGTGACCCTCGTTTGTTGTCCTTTGACGCTAACACAGGTCACCGATGTCAGCATCGGTCGCACAAGCCCACACATGGTCTTGCAGACTCAGACAAACACCTTGAAGTCCCAGACCCTGAGCTTTTTGCACATAATCTTTGTTTTTTATCGCGAGACTGAAGTCACAGGACACGGATTTAAGGCTACACTTTAAAGATATTTTAAACTCTCCTAGCGAACAACACACAGAAATCATTGGAACTTTGACGTTACTTCAACACATGTCTAAGAGTATGCAACAATATTTTTTTTAATCTAAAAGTCCCTAAAAATAATTCCGAAAAGCAAGTTATATTTTATTTCTTTAGTTTTGCAATGAAAAGTATGCAGGATTGACTACCGGTATAGACATTGGTAATAGAGGTGTCTAAAAGTATGCAAAAATATATTGTCAGCCCGAAATTTTTGTATTGCATTTGTTGACCCCTGTTTTAAGTGGTTTCAGAAGTAGAGTAGATAAAATTAGATCGCATTTTAAAATTTAGTGATGTGAAAATATTTACTATAATAATTAATAAAAAACCTTTTTTCTTAAATTTTAAACCAAAGTATTTGTCAGTCGAAAAAAAAGATTAATCTTTGATACTTTTTTTTTGCGCGTGCAACCACAACAACATTGGTTGTTGTTCTCCTTCGTTGCCATCGACTTGTTACCGCGCTGTGTTTTTCCCTATACGTACCATATATACGGGGTATACTTCCTGCGAACGCCGCATGCCGCCACCGCAAACTTGCGGCACTGAGCCCTGTTCTCACTTCCGGTTTCCGGTTCGACCCTTTCCATCGCCATAGCCATCGCCATCGCCTCGGCTAGTTGCCGTTAACTTGTTTTGATTTTTTAATGGATCGCCTGGCGACAGCAAATAAGAGCATTTAAGCTTTCATAACCCTTATCTTAAAGCCACGGACCAACCAAAAGTTTAGAGATCTGCACGAAACTTTCGAATTTCCCCTCGAGTTGAATGAAAATGTATATTATTTCGGAACACTTTGGGTGACTTTTGTCAAATAAGGAAACAACAGAACGGAATTGTGAAGGATACACGGCATTTGACATGGTCTAGGTCTGAGTCTGGGCTTTTGTCATGCAAATTGTTCAACAAGCAAGGCGGGATGTCGACGGTGACGTTGATTGCCCATGAAGTAAAATTAAAAGCAAACAATATAGGGATCAAAAGGCTGCTTGTGAATACCCTATATATTATAAAAAATATATAATTTAAATATAATATACAAGTATCCATTTTAGTTTTAATTCATGAAATAAATGTGAGCAGATACAAATAAAACATGTAGTGGTCTATTCAACAAAGCATAAATAAATGATATTAATTGTAGGTGCATTTCCAATGACTTGAAGCTAAAAGCTAAACAAATCAAAGCTTCTGTTGACATATAGTTAGTTAATGTTTTTATCTAACAAATAAAATAAAACGCACAATAAAGTTATATCAAAAGGTGTTCGCCAATCGGCTGTCTCAAATTCCAGTTTTACAAACAGTTTAGTTTTATTGATGCTGATCCGAAATCGTTTCCTAATCCGCTGTTGATACAAATTCCTCGTAAGTAGGGGCTATTCCCGGGATCAAGGAGGGAACTTAACGCGACGTGGCTTTGGCTTACCTTCCAGACCATTTCCCCATTTCCCCATTAACCATTTCCATGTTGTTCGCATGCAACTTGAGTAAAAAACAAAAGAGCTGCCAACACAGCCAACAAAAGTGGGAAAATTGTGAAAGAAATACAGTTGACGTTAAAGGGAAAGGCACACACAGTACACAACACGCAGCACAACACACAACACAAGTCAAGTAAGAAAACTTTTGTTCTTGGCATTGTTCTTGCTGTTTTTGTGGCCATTGTTGTTGCCGTTGTTGTAATTGCCGCCAAGTAGGAGGTGCCCAAGTTCAGAGTCCTGTGCAGAGTCGTCGATTTTAATTACGTATGCAATTTATTTATTACCTCTGCCCGGAAATATTGTGCAATTGTGTGGCTCTTTCTCTTTCTCTGCCTCAACGCTCTGCGGATGTGCCACAAAGCCCCAAGAACAGGAAAAAGGGGGCGTGGCAGGGCAGCAAAGATTTAACATGCGGTTATGAAGTTACTTTTCATTTTCACAATTGAGTCCTGTCAGAAAATGCAGTGCTGGCACAAAGTGCTTAAAGTCAGATGCACTCCTTCTTTGGTATTTATTGAGGTGTGAGCTCTTAAGATATCCAGGTATTTTTAAGAGTACTTAAAAAAATTTTCTGAGCTATGAAAGTAGGACAATATTTTATCTCAGATATACACATATATATTCTTCTATTTTATAGTTCGTAATATATTAAATTTATTATACATTAAAATAATTATACTAATTTATCCAATATTTCCTATTTCCCTCAAAGCTTAATAAGCACTTTTAATTTTCGGATTTTACTTGTCCAATCAAATTATTTATGATAAATGATTTGCCTAAATGTGAACTATGAGAGCCCGAGCGGAAGTAGCAAAATTCCCGCCCAAGCAAAACCACCATAAATTAGATTACCAAGGCTTAGAAATATAGTAGTCCTGGCAAAAGAACCGTGACCATAACCATAGCGTGTGTCCAATAAATTAGCGTTTTCATTAGGAAAAACAAGTGAAATTTGTTCACAATGTTGTCGTTGTTAGGAGCGAAAAGCGCACACACTCTATATATGGTATACCTCGAACCTATTCCAAATTGGTTGCATTACTTGATTAGTGTCCGCGCAATGCTGTTATTAAAATTCAATCTAAAATTCCCCCCCTCAAAAGTTGAAGTCTCGTGAGCAGATTGCATGTCTAATCGAATTTAACAACCTTTTGCAGTGTGGATGTGGAAAGAGCAGTAGCGAGGAAATTAACGAATTTCATATTAAGTGCAAATTCCGGCCTGCAACTCGTGTCATGCGATTCTGATTTGAAGTCGCTCTAAGCTTTTCCTTCCACTCTAATGCCATTTGCATGTTGAAAACGTGACCAGAGGCGGGTTGGCATGGAAAATCCCTAGGTTCCGGAAAAACTAGAAAATAAAATCTCAACCTGGTTAACCAACATGTAAATTAAGTGTTTTAGTTGTTTTCAAGCTTAAGTACTACCATAAATTTAATTATTAACTGAAAATCTAAATATTTTAATTATATTTTCTTATTTTCGCTATTAATACTCCCAACTTTTTGTTACATATCTTCTTAAGAATATTAGGCATATGCAGTGTATAACTAAAAATAACATCACATTTAGGCAATGCAAAAATGCAAGGGTTATACAAATACTAATATTTTGAAGATTGTGTTCCGCGTTGTATACAAATCTTGAAAAAGGAGAACATCACTTAAAAAATGTATCAAAAATAAAGAAAATTCAAAAATTGCGCCATCCTTGCATATAAAAATCAGCTGTTTTAGTGGTGGCACTAACAAACTATCGTTAAGTATCGTTTTCCTGTGTTATTTCTAAAATCGTTTGGGGCGAATGATTTTTAATCGCATTTATTTGTTGCATTTATTATATATGCGGCATTTGGCCCTGTGTAAATTAATGCGCAATGGAACCAGGCTATTGGCAGTAAAAATTTTGACTTGGATTAGGTATAACCTATATCTGACCAACACTTTTTCTAGTGCTGTGCTACGTTTTGGTCTATTTCAGTTGTGCAAACCCTTGAAGCTTATAGGGTAGCCACAAAATTCGTAAAGAAACAAAGTCAGCTGATTTAGCTGTCAAAGTTCTAAAAGTACAAGTCACTGAAGAAAAAATCGAAAAGCTAGAAGCTAGAGCCGAATTCAGAGAGCACCAGGGTGCGTTGAAAATAAATAAATATTCGTAAAGTAGATAGAAATCTAAGCTTAATCCCCAGACTAACCATCAGGAAAGGTACCGAAAGAAGAACCAAAGATGTCGGATCGCAAGGCAGTTATCAAGAATGCGGACATGAGCGAGGAGATGCAGCAGGATGCTGTGGACTGTGCCACCCAGGCCTTGGAGAAGTACAACATCGAGAAGGACATTGCCGCCTACATCAAGAAGGAGTTCGACAAGAAGTACAATCCCACCTGGCACTGCATCGTCGGCCGCAACTTTGGATCGTATGTGACCCATGAGACGCGCCACTTCATATACTTCTATCTGGGCCAAGTGGCCATTCTGCTCTTCAAGAGCGGCTAAATATCGATACAGCACTTACACCAACTGGCACACATCGTTGTTATCCGGAGCAAAACGCAGAAGCCACAGCCTTTCAATGGAATATCAACACTTCAATATCTGTTTATGCGCATTTAATTATCCATTTCTTGAACTGTCACATCAACACTTGGTAAACTGAAGTTTCCACAAATTATTTTTAGACAAATTCTAAAACATTTTCCCGGGGCGACTTACCTGATCTGATATTAAATTAAATGCTTGTAACTCGAAATTGACTTACTTTATTTAAACAGAAGAGAAACAAACTGATAGAATGGAAATATAACCTGCAGTTTTAATTCCATAACTTCTTTTCCAAACATCCGATTTCAAAATGGCATATCTTTAAAGTATTGGGTCTTCAGTCTCTAAAACTCTGCGTTTAAAGATTGGTTTGTAATTTCGGGTCGATTTTTTGCCATTTTTATGATGTAACCCCTTTCTAAATATCCGAAAATATCATCTTTGCAGAAAAGTGACCAAAAACCTGCAGTTCTAAATCCATAACTTTTCTTTCACGCATCCGATTTCAAAGTTGTATATCTTCAAAGTCTCGTAGCTTAAGCTTTTTAAAATTTGCATTTACATTTTGTTTTAAAATTTTGGGATTTTTATTTTTTGGTATAACTTCTTAGTTAATTTCCGAAGAAAATCACTTTAAAAATGGTACCAAAAACCTGCAGTTTTAATTCCATAACTTCTCTTCCAAACATCCGATTTCAAAATGACATATCTTTAAAGTATTGGGTCTTCAGTCTCTAAAACTCTGCGTTTAAAGATTGGTTTGTAATTTCGGGTCGATTTTTTGCCATTTTTATGATGTAACCCCTTTCTAAATCTCCGAAAAAATCGTCTTTGCAGAAAAGTGACCAAAAACCTGCAGTTCTAAATCCATAACTTTTCTTTCACGCATCCGATTTCAAAGTTCTATATCTTTAATATCTTGTGGCTTAAGCCTTTAAAGATTTGCATTTAAATTTTGTTTAAAAATATTGTTTTTCTTATTTTTTGACATTTCTTCTTAATAATTTCCAAAAAAAAATCACTGTAAAAATGGTAACAAAAACCTGCAGTCTTAATTGCATAACTTCTCTTGCAAAAATCCGATTTCAAAATGGCATATCTTTAAAGTCTTGTGGCTTAAGCCTCTAAAACTCTGCGTTTAAGGATTGGTTTGTAATTTCGGGACGATTTTTTGCCATTTTTATGATGTAACCCCTTTCTAAATCTCCGAAAAAATCGTCTTTGCAGAAAACAGCCCAAAAACCTGCAGTTGTAAATCCATAACTTTTCTTTCACGCATCCGATTTCAAAGTTGTATATCTTCAAAGTCTCGTAGCTTAAGCTTTTTTAAATTTGCATTTACATTTTGTTTTAAAATTTTGGGATTTTTATTTTTTGGTATAACTTCTTAGTTAATTTCCGAAGAAAGTCACTATAAAAATGGTACCAAAAACCTGCAGTTTTAATTCCATAACTTCTCTTCCAAACATCCTATTTCAAAATGACATATCTTTAAGGTATTGGGGCTTCAGTCTCTAAAACTCTGCGTTTAAAGATTGGTTTGTAATTTCGGGTCGATTTTTTGCCATTTTTATGATGTAACCCCTTTCTAAATCTCCGAAAAATCGTCTTTGCAGAAAACAGCCCAAAAACCTGCAGTTCTAAATCCATAACTTTTCTTTCACGCATCCGATTTCAAAGTTGTATGTCTTCAAAGTCTCGTAGCTTAAGTTTTTTTAAATTTGCATTTACATTTTGTTTTAAAATTTTGGGATTTTTATTTTTTGGTATAACTTCTTAGTTAATTTCCGAAGAAAATCACTATAAAAATGGTACCAAAAACCTGCAGTTTTAATTCCATAACTTCTCTTCCAAACATCCGATTTCAAAATGACATATCTTTAAGGTATTGAGGCTTCAGTCTCTAAAACTCTGCGTTTAAAGATTGGTTTGTAATTTCGGGACGATTTTTTGCCATTTTTATGATGTAACCCCTTTCTAAATATCCGAAAATATCATCTTTGCAGAAAAGTGACCAAAAACCTGCAGTTCTAAATCCATAACTTTTCTTTCACGCATCCGATTTCAAAGTTGTATGTCTTCAAAGTCTCGTAGCTTAAGTTTTTTTAAATTTGCATTTACATTTTGTTTTAAAATTTTGGGATTTTTATTTTTTGGTATAACTTCTTAGTTAATTTCCGAAGAAAATCACTATAAAAATGGTACCAAAAACCTGCAGTTTTAATTCCATAACTTCTCTTCCAAACATCCGATTTCAAAATGACATATCTTTAAGGTATTGAGGCTTCAGTCTCTAAAACTCTGCGTTTAAAGATTGGTTTGTAATTTCGGGACGATTTTTTGCCATTTTTATGATGTAACACCCCTTTCTAAATATCCGAAAATATCATCTTTGCAGAAAAGTGACCAAAAACCTGCAGTTCTAAATCCATAACTTTTCTTTCACGCATCCGATTTCAAAGTTGTATATCTTTAATATCTTGTGGCTTATGCCTCTTAAAATTTGCATTTAAATTTTGTTTTAAAATATTGTTAATTTCATTTTATGACATATCTTCTTAATTAATTTCCGAAAAAATTACTGTAAAATGGTACCAAAATCCTGCAGTTTTAATTCCATAACTTCTCTTGCAAAATTCCGATCTCAAAATGGCATATCTTTAAAGTCTTGTGGCTTAAGCCTCTAAAACTCTGCGTTTAAAGATTGGTTTGTAATTTCGGGACGATTTTTTGCCATTTTTATGATGTAACCCCTTTCTAAATCTCCGAAAAAATCGTCTTTGCAGAAAACAGCCCAAAAACCTGCAGTTCTAAATCCATAACTTTTCTTTCACCCATCCGATTTCAAAGTTGTATATCTTCAAAGTCTCGTAGCTTAAGCTTTTTTAAATTTGCATTTACATTTTGTTTTAAAATTTTGGGATTTTTATTTTTTGGTATAACTTCTTAGTTAATTTCCGAAGAAAATCACTATAAAAATGGTACCAAAAACCTGCAGTTTTAATTCCATAACTTCTCTTCCAAACATCCGATTTCAAAATGACATATCTTTAAGGTATTGGGGCTTCAGTCTCTAAAACTCTGCGTTTAAAGATTGGTTTGTAATTTCGGGTCGATTTTTTGCCATTTTTATAATGTAACCCCTTTTTAAATCTCTTAAATATTCGGTATTATTTAATAATAATAATATTTTTATAAAGCATATCCAGTTAAAGTGTGAAAGCACGAACTTTTATCTTACATTTCAGCTTGCGTATTCTGTGATGATTCAGCAGGACACTGACACATCAGATAATGCTTTTTGGGTTAATTCCTGCATTCACAATGTCCTTCGAGTTCATCACAAGGCAAACAATGGGGCAAAGTGCGGGGATTTTCGGGCTGCTGCTGATGATGCAGCTTCACCTCACCTGGCTGTGGGCAAATAAAAATTGCTTAATTAAGTTAATTAAAATATTGTCGCTGTCCGTTGTGCTTCCATTTCCATGTGCTGATGTGCTGGCGGCGGCGGCATTTATGCGTTTTTATTATCACTACGATTGGCCAATTTCGGACAGGACATCGTTGGGGTAATTATGCCAGCTCACGTCCAGGGCCGCAATAATAATCATAAAAATAATATTAATAAAGTTCGCAACGGGTGCGAATATATTTTGCGAAATACTTAAACACTTGACCGCCGTCAGGCGCAACATATGAAAATGTTTTTTTCTTTGGTTTTTCCTGGCTTTCGAGTGGTTTGAACCGCTTTCACAGTTCGACGACTTTTGGCCTTGTCCCTCCGATTTTCCGCCAGCTGGCTCCCATTTCTGTTTTCCGAACTCCTGCATCCGTATTTCGATGGGAATTGGTCGGTCAGACAGATACTCATGCATATTTCATAGCTCGCTTAAATACGGCAAAAGATACGAAATTTAATGCCTCACTTTAAGGCCAAAGCGAGTCGTAAAAACTTAAGTGCCACGCAATCAGTTTTACGCTCTCTCAGAAACAGCCTTTATTAATTTTTTTACCTCTTGTGCAATACAAAGATTTTTATTTATTTTTTTATGCATTTTCATATTACAAATAAAGCTGCAACAAACGTCTGAGCTTCTTTGAATATAACTGCCCACATCCTTCTCCCACTTACTTCATATTTGAAGTGAAGTTTGAACTCCTGCTTTCCTTCGGCATCGCTGCTTTTACTGGGCTGAATGAGTAATGGTATTTACTACTCCGAGATGAGTTGAGTCTGCGCATTTGAAAAAAGAGACGAAATGGGAATTTTAAGCCAACGAGAAGGTAGATGGCGCCAGCGAGAAGTTTTTTGGATTGTCAATTAACCAAATTGTTTCAAACAAGCGTTTTTGAAATTGGAAACCTAATAAATATTTATTTTATAAAATAATTATGGTCTTAAAATATGTCAAAGTTTTAGTAACAGACACGGTTTTAAAATCTAAAGGATACTGAAGAATACTGATTAAAAAAAAACAATTTTTCAAATTTTTCTGTTTGTTGCCTGTAAAATGTATACTAGGTAAGATTTAACTTACTAAGGAAAATTTAAACCAATTAATTTTTTATATTATAGAGTGTTACAAGTTATATAAAATTACAAATATAATAAAATGTATATTAAGGCCAACAATTCATTGACTAATTTTTTTGAAGCCACAATATTTTTAATTTATTAATAATTTTCACCTTAACTATATTTTTTTAATTAACTTTAAAACAAACAATGATTCTTTTCGATCTGCATTTATTTATGACTCGCATGAAAACCACCGAAAATGATATAAGAAATCTGCTGGCGCATTTAGTTATTGCAAACTCATGGCTTTGTTTTGTTTCCCACATAATTCCAATTTAATCTCGCATAGTCCCATTCCCACTATGCAGCCAACAGCAAGTGACTACAAATGAGCAAAACTCTTGACCTTTTTTGTGCCCCGAGTGGAAAAAATGAACAAAACTTTTATAAATTACTGTCAGTAGCAGTGACCTCAATATAAAATTGCACAACATAACTTGAACACACACCGATGCACACAGACAGTGGAACAATTGCGAGTGTAATAGATACGAGTGTAATTGCATTTTACTTGAATGCCAAAGCTAGAAAAACCAAAACCAAAACCAAACCAAACCGAACCGACCACAGAAACATACGCACATGGATATGTAAACTTTTTGTGACCTCAGCAGCTATAATTATGGCCA